AGAAGGAAAGGAGGAAGGAGAGTGAGGATGAGATTAGAGAAAGATTTTGGATGCTTACTTGGCTTTGTTTCATTGGTCTCCTTTCGATAACACATCTTGCTTCTTTCCATGTCACAACACAGGAAAAAAATGGTTAAATTATCTCGACTCATCACGTCATATGTGATCGTAATTAATAAGATCCATATATTTAATATTTTTTAAGGTGAATCTTTGTTACATTGAACTTCTGTCGAAAAAATCGGATGAACAAATTAGGACACAGGCAAAGATTGTGTTAATTATCTTTTGGTTTAATAATGATTTTAGTCCCTTTATTTTGTTAAAATTTGAGTTATTTTGACATAATTCCATTTCATACTCATTATCTGTACTGCAGGTCGTATGGTTACTAGTAACAGCAATTGAGAACATTACCGGCGAAACCATGCAAATATCAGCAGCAGTCGAGCAGTGTCGTCGCCTGTAAGTGCGATCCCGAGTTGGTCTGACTCTTTATTTTTTGCTTAAGTATTTATTTTTTATTCTATGTTTAACTGAAAATCTTCAATTTCTAACACTCTCTCAATAAGATCTCCAACATCGACAATGATTGGAAGGAGTAATCAAGACCATCCGACACTCTCTCAATAGATCTTCAACATCTAACGATTTTAGTACTTAAACTATTAATTTTGGTCCGTTTTAGTACTAAAACTTTTAATTTTTCCAATACCATACCTAAAATTTAGGTACTAAAACGGACCAATATTGATATTTTAGGTACTAAACACATTAAGTTTTTAATGGTGGGATACTAAAATGAATTGAAAACTAAACGTTTGGTATATTTTTGAAAAAAATGAAAGTTTAGGTGCTAAGACAGACCAAAACTGATAGTTTGGGTACCAAATGTGTAGTTTACCTAAATATAAATTTTTGGGTAAACTACACATTTAGTACCTAAACTATCAATTTTGATACGTTTTAGTACCTAAACTTAATTTTTTTTCAAAGCCATACCTAAAGTTTAGGTACTAAAACGGACCAAAACTGATAGTTTAGGTACTAAACATGTTAAGTTTTTAATGGTGTAATACTAAAATGAAATGAAAACTAAACATTATGTATGCTTTTGAAAAAATTGAAAGTTTAGGTGTTAAAATGGACCAGAACTAATAGTTTGGGTACCAAATGTGTAGTTTACCTAAATATAAATTTTTTGGATAAACTACGCATTTAGTACCTAAGCTATCAGTTTTAATCCGTTTTAGTACCTAAACTTTATTATTTTTTTCAAAGTCATACCTAAAGTTTAGGTACTAAAACGGAACAAAACTGATAGTTTAGGCACTAAACACGTTAAGATTTTAACGGTGCAATAAAATAAAATGAAAACTAAACGTTATGCATGTTTTTGAAAAAATTGAAAGTTTAGGTGCTAAGACAGACCAAAACTAATAGTTTAGGTACCAAATGTGTAGTTACCTAAATATATTTTTTTTGGGTAAACTACGCATTTAGTACCTAAACTATCAATTTTGATCCGTTTTAGTACCTAAACTTTTAATTTTTTTCAAAACCATACTTAAAGTTTAGGTACTAAAACAGACCAAAACTGATAGTTTATGTACTAAACACGTTAAGTTTTTAACGGTTGGTAGTAAAATGGAATAAAAATTAAATGTTAGGTAAGTTTTTTAAAAAATTGAAAGTTTAGGTGCTAAGACGGACCAAAATTGATAGTCTAGGTATCAAATGCACAGTTTACCTAAATATCAATTTTTTTGGTAAACTATGCATTTTGTACATAAACCATCAATTTTAATTTGTTTTAATACTTAAACTTTTTTTTATATAAAATAAAACATAAAGTTTAATTTTTTGTTTCATTTTAATACCTGCAATTAAAAATTTAACGCGTTTACTATTAATAAAACAGATCAAAACTAATAGTTTAGTTACTAAACTCATAATTTAACCAAAAGTGTTTTTAAGTAAACCCACAATGCTACAAGAAGGGCAGTACAAACCCCAGTAAGGAAGAGAAATGGAGGAGAAAGTAGCCTTCAAGAATCTGCATAGCAGAGAGTATCAAGGTCACAAGAAGAAAGTAAGTTTTTTTTCCTCTCTTTCTGCCTCTCCTAATTAAAAAATTTTGTCTTTTTTCCCCAAAGGTGCATTCTGTGGCTTGGAATTGCACGGGTACCAAGCTTGCCTCCGGTTCCGTCGATCAAACAGCTCGAGTTTGGCATATTGAGCCTCACGGTCATGTAAATCCCACTCTCTCGCTCTCTTTTCTCGCCTAATTTGAATATCTCTGGGTATTTTGAATGAATTGGGAATAGGTTCGAGATGGGTCTTCGTTTAATCGTTCTGATGGGTATCCTTTTGCTTATGCTTTTAGGATGGTAAAAAATATGTTGTTAATCCCTGTCGTTTGGCTAATTTTTGTATCTAGTCTATGTACTAATGAAGTTAAAAATGAAATGCTTTTGATTTACAAGTTCTAATCAATTCAATGTTACTTCTAATGTTTTTCGGTCCAGTTTTGCTTACTGAGCTCAAACTGATATGCTTCTCCAGTTGGTATAGTTGCACAAGTGTTCTGATCACAAATTTTGACAAAAAATACTAACAGTATCCATTGTTGGATTATGATTTTAATGCGTAAAAAGAAGATTATAGGGACTAAATTTAGAACTTCATTCATGTACAGGGACTGATGATATATTTTGACCTCTTAGGATACACGTACATCAGTAAGAGGAGTTTTAGAGAGGCTACCTAGTCTTTGTATCCGTTGTATTGTATCATCACAGAAATCAAATTCGCACAATTTATCTGAAATTAGCTTGGGTTGTATCTTTGATGTTTGAAATTTAATAATGTTGTTTTGCTAATGCTGTTCTGTAATGTTTGGTGCAGGGCAAGGCTAAAGATATAGAATTGAAGGGACACACTGATAGTGTCGATCAACTATGTTGGGACCCTAAACATGCTGATCTAATAGCAACTGCATCTGGCGATAAGACTGTTCGACTATGGGATGCTAGAAGTAGGTGAAATGATGTTTAATGTTATTGTTTTGAAGACTTAACTGTAAGGGGAGATACTTTTATTGCTTCTACACGTCTTCCATGATTCTTATGTTCTGAATGAAAGGTTCTTATTGGAGGCTAACTAAATAAATTGTTATGATATTACTTAGTCGCTTAACCATCGGATAGTTGTTTACCTTTGCCTGCGTCGGGTGTTGCAGGTGGAAAGTGCTCCCAGCAAGCAGAGCTCAGTGGGGAGAATATAAACATCACTTATAAACCTGACGGGACACACATAGCCGTTGGTAATAGGGTATGCTCTACTGTCTTGTGTCATTTGGTGCACCTCAAAACATCTGTGGCTTGGAACTTTTAACATGAACTTGATTTTGTGTAGCGGTAGAGCACTTTTGTTGCCATTGTTTCATCATGATAATGAATTAGTTTGTCATTGATCTTACTGTGCTTTATTTCTCTGAAGGATGATGAATTAAACATACTGGATGTTCGAAAATTTAAGCCGATTCACAGGCGCAAGTTCAATTATGAGGTACTTTCCGGTTTATGCTAATTTGCTCTCCTATCCTTTGTTATTTTATCACCTTTCAGAATGCATATTTTGGAGAACACAGTGATACTTGCATTAGAAGCCTACTATTACGAGGTTTAGTTTTTACATAAAACACAAACTTGACTATTATAAAGTCGGAACCACATTTAAGTGTGCAATGCTTTCACTTAATCAAATTGTTACTTGAGTGCCATCAATATTTTTTGGCCTTTTCCCGGCTAACTCTTTAGAAGTAATGGCTTATCACTGGATGCATTAGCTTAAGCTGTATGATTAAAAGGATGAATGGCATTTCTGTTATTTTAATTCAGCGGTTGAGTCGTACACTTCTTTTTCAGGTAAATGAAATTGCTTGGAACATGACCGGAGATATGTTCTTTTTGACAACAGGAAATGGCTGGATCAATTTCTTTCTTAGCAATTATGCTTCTCTCTTCGATTCGAAAATTGTTTATTCTCCTTAATTGTTTTTCTTCTCAGGTACTGTTGAAGTACTTGCATACCCATTACTTAAACCTGTTGACACCCTCATGGCACAGACAGCTGGCTGCTACTGTATTGCAATTGACGACAGGAAGGTTTGGCCTAAATCTCTCCTAATTTCCTAGCTCTGTTGCATCTTGACTTTATTGGTTGCCCATCCTCATTTCTTTATGCATATATCATGTACTGTCTTTAATGTTTATATATTTGTCACGTTTTTCGTACATGCAAGGTTATTTTTGTTTATTAAATACGAGGTTTTTGTTGTCAGCCATCGATGAATTTTTCTTTTTCTTTCACTGAGATGATAAATGTTTACAATAAATCCCATTTCTATTTTATGGTAGATATTTTTCTGTTGGAAGTGCTGATTCCTTAGCCTTTGGGATATATCGGAGATGCTTTGCGTGCGAACGTTTACTAAGCTCGAGTTCGGTTGTATTCGTCATTGGCATGAAATGACCGTTTGAGTCCCTGCAGGTGGCCTGTCCGGACAATAAGCTTCAATTACAAGGGCGACTATATTGCCTCTGCCAGTTAAGATCTATTTATTGATATAGTATGTATCAGTTGTACTCCCTTATCAGTAAAAAGAGTTCATAAGAAATATTGTATTCATATGTTTCTGCTGTTGTCTGAAACAGTCCAATGTTCATACTGGGAGAACCGTGCATCAAATTCCTGGTCGAGCTGCCATGAACAGTTTGGAATGGAATCCAAAATACAATTTACTTGCTTATGCTGGTGATGACAAGAACAAATATTCAGCAGATGAAGGCGTCTTCCGGATATTTGGCTTCGAAAGCAGTTAATGATGTAGTTCTTCTAGCTCTTGTTGAGTACTTGCTGTCTTCTCTGTGTAACCACCAACTGCTCTTAAATCTTATGTATTTTTGGATTTGTATTAACATTTTCATTTTCTTAAAAAATAAAATGAATGATTTGTTTTATTATTCGAGTTGGAAAAGAATTTCTTGTACATAAAAGAGCACACAAGTCGTGGTGCCATTGAAGATCACATAAAAGAGCATACAAGATCTCAGGCTCTGAAACTGAGGAATCGCCAGTTGAATGACTGAAGAAAGTTTATAGGATCGCCTCTCCAACACTGTAGTGGTGCTATTTTGATCTGCTGCTAGTAATGGAGTTCATAGCTCCGAGCAGGTTTAAATAAATCATTATCGGACCACGATGCTTCATCCCCGATGAAAACGTCAAGCAGATTCTGCCATTACCATCCATCCAAAGAAGACCTATGTGAACAAATTATCTGATATCAAAACCCCAATGGTAATGTACAAAAAATTGATGAATTCGAATCGAAACGGTACCTTCGACATTGGAAGCATTGTCACCAGTCGTATCAGATTCCACAGAGCATGAACTTGCAGACCGGCAAAGCCAGACCCGAGAAGCAGACAAGCGCAATAGTGATCAGGTACTGAGAGCACCATGTTAGAGGCTTCCATTTAATCTCAACGCTCGAGCTTTTCATCCTCTTCCCGATGTGAGGCTCTTTCGACAAATCGAAGCTTTCCCCTTTCATCCTCCTCGTGAGCGCCCGGTTATCATTCCGCTCCCTCTGCAACTGCTTCCCCACTTTCCAGTACCTGCAGAGCTTGACCTGGACCAAAAACACAAACACGAGTGAAGTCGAGAGTGAAACAATGGACGTCACCCACCATTTCCTGCAAGTGCGGCGGTGCTCTTCAGCGCCGACGGAAGACATGAACAAGATGTTGAAGAAAAGCCCGTGGAAGACGACAAAGAAACAACACAATTGGAAGATCTCTCTCTTGACGGAGTCGAGCCTGGATTCCTTGAGGGCGATTCTACGACCGAAAAGATCTTCCTCTCTTTGCCATAACTTGAGAAGCAAGAGATGGCCCGGACTCCGAGAGATCTCCATCAATGGGTGGTTTTGGATGGCAGTGATGGTGGCCAAAGCACATGAGAGCTTCTGCTGATGCTCTTCATCCACTGGGATTTCGACAATGTGGGTGTCTGCCATTTCAGCCATGACTCGAATTACAAAATAATTATAAATAATAGAAAATAAATTAAAATAATTATGCTATAAATAAACGGAGGATTTTGGGAGATGAGATTAGAGAGAAGGAATGCGTTTTGTTGAGGCAAAATGGGTAGAGGCTGTGGTATTTACAGTGCTTTCTGGGAAAAAAAGATAAGGCATGAGATTGGTAACGGTAACATTTTGATATCCCAACGGTCGGATTTTCTTTCCAATAATTCTTAGACTTGGGCTTTGTAGGCTTTATAAGAGATAACAATGCCCAACATTAGGCTTTTTTTTTATCCAGCTTTTTACCCAGCATCCTCCGTTAGCATGGAGTTATTATTTTATGGTAAAATACAAAATGGTTCCTCGATTATAAGGTCTTATTTTATTAAGTCTCTCGAATATTAATAATTATAAAATGGTCATCTGATTATAGAATGTTATTTTGTTGAGTCCCTCAACTATTAAAAGTTACAAAATATTCATCCGACTATTCATTGTTCCAAACTCATCATTTTCTATTAAAAAATGATAGTATTAGGAGCTGAACATTAATATCCTAACAGTAATATAATAAAATATGGTCACAAAATCTCAAACGGCTATCATATCTCTGTCATCGTGTTAACGTCCAACTTAGACAATTGTCAATTTTTTTTAACAAAAGGACGAATTTGGAACATAATGAATAGTCGAATGATCATTTTTTTAATTTTTAATAGTCGAGGGACTCAACAAAGTAACAACACTCTATAGTCGGATGATTATTTATAACTTTTAATAGTCGAGAGACTTAATAAAATAATATTCTATAGTCGGTGACTATTTGTACGTATCTTATTATTTATTATTAAAAAAATATATTACATTACCTAATTAGTAGTTAATCTGATGGAATAAATCATTAAATTTCTTGAAAATGGTCATTAGCTTGATTGATACGGGCTTTATTATAATATCTAAAAGACTTTAGATTTAAGTGTACTTGAGTATTAATTTTTCTTTTGACTTGATGATTGAAGAATTACGAGTAATTTAAACGTGTTGATGGTAAATTTTGAATTACGATAGTTATAGATCATTTATCTCTTTTAATTTAGACGGAGAGTGGTAACTGATAATTTTGGGATAATGGTATACCAATGACAGTGAATTGTCTCTGGTTTTAAGAGAGAAGAATTCCCTTCCAATTTTGTATGAGGGTTTATATAATGATTCTTACTGTTGGTGTCAAGCCTTCGATCATGATGACTATTCGTAGGTTGAATGAAAAACAAATATAAAAAATGGATATGAGCGTCTAATAATAAATTTGACTTTGACAAATCGCAAAATCGTATTAGAGGTATTGTTAAAGGATTGTAGCTGATTAAAGTATATGAGTCTCTAGAGGCTGAATAATTAGTGTAGTCAAGGGGAGCGATGTAACACCTCACAGATCGATATTGAATTTTCTCAACAGTTAATGACCATGAAATTCTTTTCTGATATGTTGTTTTGATATTTGATGTTTTAGAAATTCGATTAATTTTATTTTATAGTATGAATTAAAGAACAATTGATTTTGGATTAAAGTTTAGCGGCTAAAGTAGAATAAATAGATAATTTGGAAATTTTAATAAAAATGTGGAACTTGGGTGCTAAAGTAAAAACATGAGAAAATTAAATGGCTAAGGGTTCCTTAGGCCACGCAATGATTAATTTAGAGAAGACAAAATTTTGAAGGACTTGCTTTGAGATTCCACCATTTTGCAAAAATGGTGAATAAGCTGCTTAGGTGTCATTTTATGCGTTTTAGTCCATTTTCTTTAATTGGCAAACAGAAAGGCTCCTTCCATATTCTTCCTCCCCAAAATTCACCATGGTAGAGAGAGAGAGCTTGAAACCTTAATTTCTCTCTCTAGGATTCAAGTTCCCTTGGTCAACCAAATTGAAAAGCAATCACATTAAAAAAATTAATGCTAGACTGTCCCTTGTTCCCATATGTATTGGGGTAAGAGGGAGGTAAGATAGTAGGCTGCCCCCAACACTAGGTTGAGAGCAGCTTCCGTGGGAAACCTCCAAATTATGAAATGCCCTCCATGGGACTCGATCCCACGACCTCAAGGTTAAGAACCTTGTGCTCTACCAACTGAGTTAATGTAAAATAGTTTCTCAAATTATATTCAAAGTTAAATTTAGGAGTCTAAAGAATTTTTCGTTAAAAATAAGTGTTTAACGTATTCTATATTACACTTTTAGTTGTTTAACGTTTTCAATGTTATATTTTTAGTTACTCTGGCTGTAACGGCTTCCAAAAAATATTTTTATTTGACACGTGTTAGACTTATAAAATTTTAAAAATAAAATTTATTTTTCGAAAAACTTAAATTTCTCTATAATTACAAAATAAACCCTCAAGATTTTAAAATCAATAATTTCAAACTCATTTGCAACTGTCGTGGTCATTTTCGACTATTATTTCTGTCGCCGAAGGGTCACCTATCCGTTGTCTGTCGATAATTGATCGATCAGCCCTTATCTAAAACCCCAAATTTCAAAATCCTAAACCTCTAAGTCTCTAACCCTAAATTTAATGGGTAGAGAATTTAGTTAAAATTAAATCCCAATAATCTCAAATATTGCGGGAATGGGAATGACTTTTTTTTCAAAAAATTATTAGTAGAAAATTATTTTATTTACTTTTAAAAAAATTAAAAAATATATAGTAGTGATGTGTCACTTAATGATCAAATTTAATAGTATTGCTGAGTGTAACGTTAAAAATATTAAACACCTATTTTTAATGAAACAATTTTATACATAAAAAGTTAACAATAGAAAAAAAATATTTTTAATATCTAAATAAAAAAGTGATATTTTTATGTATTTGTTTTGAAAAAAAAATAATTAACAATGGGAAAAAGTTGAATATTTAATATATTTATATTGATAGAAAATTATTTTGAGTATTAACTAATTATTTTTTCAGTTAATATATTATCACTTTGTAGATGCTCGGTTTTGTCCGGGGCCAGATCGGAGCAGACTTAAAGCTGAGCAATTGAAGGCACAACTCAAGTCCACGTGAATACTCCCTAGAAGAATAAAAGTAGTTATCGGGTCAGTTTTTTAATTAATTAGGAAAACTGCCTTAGTAAACTGTTTTGTAAGTGGAGGGTTTATTAACTATCATTATTGCTAAAAGGGGAGGGAACAGAGACCATTTTTTGAGAGAAAAGGAAAGAAAAGCACGAAAAGAGTAGGGGCTTCTTCATTTTTTGTTCTTTACACAATAGAGTAACAAAAGAAAAACAGTGTAGAGGGTTCTGTTATCTGATTCGAAAAAAACAGCGTGTAAAAGGTTTTTTTCCTCCAATTCGAAGATTACTACAAACAAAAGGCTCTTTCTCTTTCAAAGCAATACCAAGCAAATCCAATACGTGTAAGATTTTCCCTTCATGATTACTTATAGTTGCATTTTTTATTGGTTTTAATAGATTTCACAATGAAAAATAAACAGAGAATAAAAAAACAAGATGGTAGAATCTAAACAACCCGATAGCAATAACAGAGAACCATAGAACCAACATCGAATCAAAGTACTAACTATAACAATGTTTGATAATCACAATTTTAGAAGCTAAAGCCTTACCATAAACCTGAATTTAAGGTCTTCAGTCACCGCTCCATGCTCACTGTCTCTGCCATCACAGTTGTGTCCAGTGTTTCTTCTTCCAAAATTACCGCCATTTCCTCCGTTTCAGTATGATTAAGCTTCGTTGATAGCATGCTTAGTCTCCATCGGAAGTAGTTAAACCATTAAGAGTCGTTGGTGGCTATGGTAGTGGTTAAAAAGCGTTGTAAGTGTTGGTTTAGAATCGTTGGATTTGTATTTATTCGGCGATCATGGAGGTCTTGAGGGCTCGACCAAGGGTGATGAGGAGATAGAGGGCAGCGGCTAAGGATTAGGTTTAGAATAAGTTTAGGGTTGGGTTAGGTTCGTTTCTAGGGTTGTTAAAATATTGGCCATGTATGAGAGGAGTCAATTTACCTAGTTGAAGAGATGGTCGCCGGAGTTGAAGCCGCCGGGGTGGAGAGACTCGAACAATAGAGAGTAACAATGGTCGTTTGGCTTCGGTTAACAGTCCAATAGTGGTCGGGGTTTAGTGTAGTCACCGTTGAGCGGTGGTCGTGAGGTTGGTGAAGAAGAATGATCGGAGAAGAAAGGGATAGTGAAGAGGAAACGTGAGGAGCGGCATAGTTCAATTTAGTTTAGCTTAGGTTTAAGTTTTACTTAGGTTTTATATTAACATTTTAGGATTAATTAGTGTTTAGCCATTGTAACTTTAGATGTAAACTATCTTTAGATCCTAAGTTTAACGTTTTTGTAATTTAGTCACCTTTAGGGCTTGATTTTTGATTTTTTTTTATGTCTTAACTTAGTTATTTTCTAGTTTTTGTTTTGGTTACTATTTTGAATTATTTAAGTTTAAGTTCCTTATATTTATATTCGTTTTATTTAAGTCTCTGTTTTGATTTTTAGTCAGTATGTTTAATTTTACGTGTGTTTAAATTTAGTCATTGCTTTAATATGATGTATATATATTTTTTAAAATTTATAGTTTAGTATGCCGTGTTTATTTTTTGTATTTGAGTCACACTTGTACATTATATGTTAATATGCATGGTTTATGATTTTTTTTAATCAAAATATATGTATGTAATTTTTTGTATGTCACATTGTATGATACTTTTAATGTTGTTTAATTAATTTTGGCATGACATCCACTTTTTGCATAATTTGCATGATAGCCTCACGCTCATAACTCGACCTATTACATAATCGGACTAAGGGTAATACCCTTTTAATTTAAAATTGTTTCGAGTGGCCTGTCTTAACTGATTAGAGGGCCGTTTTGACTATTTTAAATTAAAAGTGTATCCCGAAAGTGAAACAAAAAAAAATTGATTCGTCACCTAAAATTTGGGAACGAAAGAAAAGGAAATGTTCGTTTATTTAAATTTATCGAGAA